TTCACATTCTTTCGTACGCTTCTTTCACTTTTGGGTGGCAGTCTTGTTGCAGCAGCTTGGGCTTTTGGGGCGCACCGTTCGGGCTCGGTCCATCGCTCCTATCCAAGCTGCTACGAGAACACACTGGAAAACACTAGCGCACCAGTCTTCCCTCTTCTCTTTCTCAGTGTTCCCAAACTCCCATGTAACCGATGATCGATCTCCATGCAACCAACATGCACATATCATTCCATCCACCCGACACCCACCTTGACCTACATATGCGCACCTAGCCAGTCTCGATCCATGCATGCACACACATATACGAAGAAGAAAATATATATAGTAGTATCTCGTACGTGGAAAAAAAAGGTAAAGAATATATTGATGCACATGCCGCATGGAGGCAATTGAACAACCTATCTATAGGTACAATATATCTCAGGGAACTAGCAAAAGATCGATTTGTTCTATTAGAAAACACAAAAGATTGATCGATATGTGTGTGAGATATCTATCCTCGCGCTTTGGTACGTTCTATCGATCAGTGTAAAAAGAGGGCCGGCCGGGAAAGGAAAAGGTGAAAACTAAAGAACCGACCTTGCTTTTGGATGACCATCTTTGACTAGTCCCTTTATGCGTGCAGCCGTGATCAACATTGCAGTGCTAACTCTAGCTAATTAATTGCCTGCCTTAGCTTAGAGAGATTGACATACACTAAACTGCACATAAATCGATCCATCGCTGGTATTGCATGTTAATTTGGAGGCATGCAGGCAACATGCATGAATAATCTAATCTAATATATGCATGCATGCATGCATGGCATCTTCACTTTGGTTTTCTCTTTCTGCTTACACATGTTGATTCCTGGCTCCTACTATGATTTTGAGTGACGAAGTTAGAAGAGTGGCATATCAGTTAATTATTGCTAAATAAATTTGGTTAGTTGCACCTGTCGATTCAAGTTATTGACAAAGCTCATATGTATTCTCCAAAAGGAAAATGCATGCATGGCTGTATGCATTTGGTCCATGTAGAATGTAGTACCTTGGATAACAATTTTGGTGACAATACCATCATTGAATTTCTTCAAATGCGGATTCACACTCTTGGATCACATTTTATAGTATATAATTAACCGCGAACAGAAATGCGAGAATTGTACATCGACCAGACAATTGACATATAATATAAGATTGTCATGAACCAAAGTGATACAATACACACATAACTTCACCCCGAATGCGCAAAAAAAAAGAGCCCTAAGTAAGAAGAAGTAGAAGAAAGACAGCAAGTGATCATGCTAGCTAAACTAGCTAATTAACACTAATAGTTGTCCATGATCATTAAGCAAGCACACAACACCATGCAGCATCCTTATCCTTCTCCATGATCGACCTTGTCTAGTTCTTCCATGAAACACAATGCACAACAAATGCAAAGCCTTTTCTATATCTCACAGCACCCTCCAAGTCCATGCTACCGCTAATTGTAGGATTAATCTGAGCTCGCCATTAGCTTAGCTCATTCATCACAAGAGGTGGTTACCTGTGGCAGCATTGGAGTAGGAGCTTGTGTAGCCAGCGCCAGCAGCGAGGTGGTGATCACCACCGTACATGGCGATGCTGCCTGATCTCGGGTAGCCTTCTCTCTTTGACGGCATCGCGTGATGAAACTGTTGGTTTCCTCCGTCGTCTTCATGGCCGCCGCGGCCGTCACCGCCGTTGCCCAAGCCTAGGTAGTGGAACATCCCCGGCATGGCCATTGCAGGCGCTGCAGCTGGCCCCAGTGTGTGCTGCTGGTCGGCCATTGCTTGGAAGAACGGGAAGCCTTGCATCTGCTGCACTCTCCACTGCTCCAGCCCGGCCACGGCACCGCCGCCGCCGCCTCCCAGGTAGTAGCCCGCTGCCGAGTCGACGGCGGACGGCTTGCCCATGCCGGAGAAGGTGGAGCCAAGGCTCATGGCATCGAAGTCCGCGAGGCGGAGCAGCGGCGGCAGGAGGCCGGACAGGTTGCCACCGCCGCCGTTCTGCAGCATCGCCGGGAGCACGGGAGCCGGGTTGGACATGGTCGTGCAAGCGGAAGTCGTCGATGACGTCGTGGACCCACCCGAAGCGGCGCCGTTGGCCGCCGGTGGCCCCGCTGCCGCTGCCGCGGCCGCCTGCTTGGGTTTGGCGCGCTTGGCATGGCGGCGGTACCCGCCGCCGACGGGGACGTTCCGGAGCGCGCCGCCGCGGGTCCAGTAGCGGCGGCAGGCGCGGCAGAAGTGGCGCGGCTGCGAGAGGGAGTAGTTGTTGAAGTAGCAGAACTTGGTGTTGGCCGAGTCGCAGCGCGGGCACTTGAGCCCCTGCTCCGGCAGCGGCACCCGAGCCAGCCGCGCGCGCTCCGACATGGACATGGGCTTCGCCGGCCCCACCACCTGCCCGCCGCCGCCGCCGCCGCCGTCCCCACCTTCAGCAAGCGTCCCCTGCTGCATGATTGACGGCTGCAGGAGCTCATGGTTGTTGCAGCCGCCGTCGCCGGCACCACCACCACAACTTGCGGCCGCGACCTGCTGGTGGTGAGCATGCTGCTCAAAATCCAACTATACGGCATGAGAAGAAGAATCAAGAACCCAAGATAAGATGGAAGTGAACCAAGAACCAGAATTCAGGCTAGAAAATTGTGCCAAGTATATACCAAACATATGTAAGTGTTTGAATCAGAATATTTAGCCAGAGACGACCTAGTATCATTCTCCTCTTTGCATCAATATTATTAATACTCCCGAACAACTTTCTCCTCCACTAACTTTATTTGAGCTTGTGCAGCAAAAGTGAGAGTGAACAAAATCCGGGGAAAAGAGAGGGGAATGAAATTAATTACCTGGTTATCATTCCAGCTCGAGGAATCCAGGAATGAAGGGGGGAAGATCATGGTGTGGGGTGGGTGGGTGGTGATGTTATCAGGAGAAAGTGAGCCTTGTGCTAGCTAGGGTTTGGCAAGCTCTTGTCTTCTCCTTTCCTTCGTGCAGCTGCCGGCCGGCCTTGTGCGTGTGTGCTTCCTTCAATTCTGGTGTGTGTGCGGCTAAAGGTTGTGGTGCTTGATAGAGGCTTGGAGGTAGTGGGAGATGAGAGGGCAAGCTGGCTGGCTGGCTAGCTAAGGCTCCTCATGGTCCTCATGGGGCTGGGAAAATAATTATATGGGAATCAAAGGGAAAGGGAAAGAGGAAAGGGAGAGCGAGGGGTGAGAGAGTGAGACAGGATTAGTGAGAGTGTGAGGTGGGATGAGGGAGAAAAAGAAGGAAATGTAGACATGTACCTTCTATGTGGCCCATGTTTTGTGATGTTGTGGCTTTTCTTCCCTGTGGTGTACGTTGAGGGCCGGGGAGGAGGGACACCTTGCCGTTTTCTGTGCAGACATAGGGGTGCAAGGAAAGCCCGAGGAATATGAGCCGCTCGAGTTCGACTCGTTTTTAGATGGATTTGAAAAGAACCGGCTTGATTTTAAAAAGCCATGGTGCTTGGATGAAAGGTTGCATCAAAATTGAGCATTCTCTACCCTGGTTAAGCTCGATATATAGTGTATATTATGACATGTGTCCTACATATATGCAAATAAAGTATGCCATATTGATATTTAATCCTAATTTATGGGGAAAATAAGTTTCTAGGTTGAGATACAATATTAATTTTCACATTTATATACCTGTCTATCCATATTTGCATATTTTGAACAAGCACTATCAATTTCGGGCATAGGTTATTGTTTATAATCAATTGTCATGTCATTACGCGAACTGATAGTACCTCACAAGGTTAGGTTCCTTGTGGAGGAACCAACCCATCAGGGCTCAAATCCTAGACATGGCCCCAGTGCTCGTATTTTCTCATCAGAGCTTAGTCGGAGAAGACGTTTCCGTCAACTACAAAGGCATCAGGTGAATTCATAGGGATGAGTGTATGTGTGTGTATATGAGCATCTACATTTGTACAGCATTAAAAGAAATGTCATGTCATTACAAGCCAAGCATGAGGCTATTCTGTCAAAAAAAAAGCATGAGGCTATTTTGTGGCTCGTACTCCCCTCGCATAATCCAAAGTTTATGACTAGCTATAAAAGGTGTGCTCACTCTGGCTCACTCAACTTGACTTGTTTGCATCCTCAGTCAAACCTAGCCTTGTGATGATCACTTTAGCATTTGGGTGAACTCTGTTAATTAGTGGATTAAACTTATTAATAAAGGAAGTATCTAATAAACATCCATCTGATTTTTAATTCGGTATCAGTCAAATTTATTACCTTCAGTATGCTGGGTATGACCAAAGAGTGACATAAAAATCATGGCAATGTGTGCGGGATTGTGTAGATCGAACGGACAAAAAAAATCCAAATGATACCGAATTGAAAATCAGCTAGCTGGAAGATAGCAAATGTGTTGATAAAACATCTAGAACACACTTCTTTGTGTACTCTATAGGTGGTTGTGGAACCTGACATAATCATGCTATTTGCCGACATAGATTTTGAGAAAACCAAATTTCACCCAACTAAAATATCTTCAAGATTTAATTATACTATATATGGTGTGCAAATGCTAGCCATCAAGATTTAGAAAGTGTCTAAGTGAAAAAATGAATCCCTCCTTGTGCACATTTACTTATCTATATCATCACTATATATATAGTGTGCCAATTACTTCAATTATTAGCCGTTGGATAGTCCAACCGCTAGGAGATGGTAAATCCGAGCATTATTATCCACTGGATAATATTTCAACTAATAAGATTCTCCTCGTAACCTTCTAATTGAACCACCAACTCTATCAACTCATGTGTTCCAGAAACATATATCCCCATGCTTATCTGATTCTCTAATAGAAAGAGAGACATAGAACAATTTGGACTCTAGAGGGGTAAGAACCAAGTTGAGATAGAGTTGTATCTTGTCCAATATGATTTCAAGGAAGTATATATATATATATGATGGAGCGTACCATTACAAGGCTAGCTAAGAGTACCACGGCCACACATGATGTTTTTGTCATAGTTTTTGTTCTATTTTGTAGACTTATCTTCTGGGTCATGATGTTCCTAGCATCTTTTGCAGTAGATTTATTATTGTGTGCATCCCAGATTGTATAGGCCGGCAATCTATGCCTTCCTCTAAAATATTGGAAATAATTTATGCAAGTCTCTTGAAGTTGTGCAAAGTGAACTCCAAGAGACAACACGGAGGCAACAACAACTGAATCTGTAGCGGGGCTAGCTAGACATGGCTAGAATAGAGACATGAATCCCATATTTTGTGGCAGTTCTGCGTATGCAGCCCAAGTCATTTTCCTAGGATTGGGCTTTTATTGTTGTAGTTAGCTAGCTCCTCTGTTCATGAAAAACAATATGAGATTATGGATGGTACATCTTTGACATTTTATTGTCCTCTCCTCCTTTCCTTTGTGTTATTATATGCCAGTTGGACAGGAGAAGCATGAACCCTTGTGGATTTCGCATAGCTACTTGCAGTGCAGCATCAGAATTCTTTCACCTGGAACTCATCAAATTCATCACGGATTGAGTCTCCTTCACAAACCAAGTACATATTTGTAGTATACTACTCCCCCGTCCCAAAATAAGTATCTCAACTTTAGTACAACTTTGTACTAAAGTTAGTATAAAGTTAAGACACTTATTTTGGGACGGAGGGAGTATTTCGTATCAAATTGTTTTGATGAAACTGATTAAAGTATGTGGACACATGTGATCGACTCTCTCTGTCTCCGGAAGAGTTAGTATGATCTTGGATTTGATAAGGTGGCTTCAAGCATATATTTGGAATAAGGATTTCTATTTGTCTCTAAGAGGGGCATTCAATGAGATGCCATAGAAAGCACAAAGACGACCGGCTTTTGAGTTTTGATGATGTTTCTGCGTCATAAAAAAACTTAATACTACACTTGGTTAAATCAACCATGATACATTACATCATATCGATCTAACAAGATGGATAAACTAATCCAAAATGGATAGCAAAAATTTAAGGAAAATGAGACTGGTATCATTGATTTTTTTTTTCTATGATCATATTACAAGTTACATTTTTAGCCCCATTGCTACTTCGGGGTCACATGCATGGGATTTACAAAATGAAGACGGAGAATACTATAAGGGTAGACATGACCCTATTTGTTAGAGGGACAGTAGTATCCCCAGCCCACCAGGGTTTAAGTCCTGATGCTCGCATTATTTCTGGATTTATTTCAGGATTTCCGGCGATGCGTTTTCAGTGGGAGGAGACGTTCCCGTCGACAACGAAGCGCCTACGATAACTTCGTAAATCTCAAGATGATAGTCGGCTCAGTCTCTTGAAGGTGCTCACAGGGATAGGATGTGCATGTATGTGCGTTCATAGGGGGTGAGTGTATGCATGTATGTATGAGCGCTTGCGTACTGTGTTCAAAAAAAAGAAACCCATACTTTCGGTCCATCTGAATACATGAAAATAATATCTCCTACCTAAAGAAGATGTCACGTCTACCCTCCCCTCCCCTCGCGTTGCCTCCCCTGGGCGACGCCAGGGGCCCCTCAACCGTAGCGCCGCAGGCCACCCCTCGCGCCTCCTCCTGCCGCCGCTGCCGCCGGCGTGGGCCGTGGTGGCGGCGGGCCTGGCGGGCGGAGGTCGTGGGATCTCATCTGAGGCGGCAGGGGCGGCACCTCTCGTGGGAGTCCGAGGGCGGCGACCCTATGACACGCGGCGGTGGCCGCAGTTCCATGGCCGGCGGAGCGGCAACCCTGAGATGGACGGCGGCGGTGGCAACGCCCCATCCGGCGGGGTTGGTTGATCTGTGCGGAGATGGTGACGGCGGCGTACGTCTTCGTGGCGAGGCTCCGTTCGGTTCCAGCCAGCCGAGAGAGATTGGGACGACGTGGCTTCCAGTGAAAATCGTGCCTGACTGCGGTCTTGGCGGACGATGGCGGCGTCTCGGACGTCGTTCCCTTCTCGAGGCATCATCGTTGCAGGTCACGTCAACCTGATCCGGATGTTCTGGGGGAAACCCTATATCTGAGTCTATCGGATTGGACGATGACGGCCCTTTCAGTGTCGTTCTCCCTCCTGGGGGCATCGTTTTGGAGTAAGTGCTGGCTGGAGGGGACAAAAGGAAGAGCGGTGTTTCATCTTGCTCATTTATGGCAGCGGATCTCGGCGGCGTGGCGCAGTGGAGACTCGGTGCCCGATGCGTGGAGATGGACTCGTGCAGGATGGTGGCGTTGTCTGGCGTCGTGGTGGCGTCGACGGCAGCTAGGCCGGGCAAGGTAGATGCAACAGTACAACACTAAGGACGGATTGGTGTCAGGTGGCTATGGCGGCCTCATACCAGGCAGGCGTCCTTGTTGAGGAGTGCACCGGACTGGTAGGTGCCCCATACCCGGCAGGCGTCCTGGTTGGTACCTCAGGTCTTAGATGTTAGGATTGGCTGCGAGATTTGTTTGGTATACTAGGCCCAAACTATCAGCATCCCTTCATCAATTGGATAGGAGTAGCGACAGTTTTGTTGTCTAGACGATGGCTTCAGTCTTACTGTTGTATGACTTTTTAAGGTCTTGTGTGAATGATTAATAAAGTGGATGCATGCATCGTCCAGATGCAGAGGTCGGGGGTCCTCCTCCATTTAAAAAAAAACCCTAAAGAAGATGTAATTTTCTGTCATCCTCCCTCTCCGCCCCACATTTTCTCTTTTTGGTTTTGCTGATTTTCCCCAACTGGCTTTCCTTGAGAACATTCTTGACTGGCCCGCATTTTATTGGCTTACCAAATAAAATCATGTTTACTTTGACAAGTCAATAAATACTACTCCCTCTGATCCAAATCCAAAATAATAGTCGCAACTTTGAACTAACGTTAGTGCAATCTTAGTTCAAAGCTGCTATACTTATTATGGA